ACCAATAGAAGCTGCCTCGTATGGACCAATAGGAGCTGCCTCGTATGGGCCAATAGGAGCTGCCTCGTATGGGCCAATAGGAGCTGCCTCGTATGGGCCAATAGGAGCTGCCTCGTATGGGCCAATAGGAGCTGCCTCGTATGGGCCAATAGGCCTCCTGCACTTTCACATATTATTATGTACTCACCTAGTTGTGTTTGCGGGGGTTGAGCTTTGGCTCTTTGGTCCCGAAATATATATTTATGCTGCGTTGATGCACGACCCCCACACGAATGTATACATAAGTCATTGTCATGGTTGCAATTCAATTCGTGACTTGGGGAAATTAAGTGGCACCCAGATGTCTTAAGTAGGCTCTTAACAACCCCTCCCCCTTAAATGCTCTTGTCTGCACAGAAAAAATAGATATTATTGCACTTACCGAAACGTGGATGAATGTAGAAAATAGAGAACTATTAGCTGAATATCAAATATATGGATTTAAACTATTTCACACAGATAGATATATTAGACGAGGAGGTGGAGTAGCCATATATGTTAGGGACAATTTGAAATGTAGTCTCAAAGAGGGAATCAAAACAGAGCCACACACAGAAACTATTTGGATTGAATTAAACGAAAAAGCTAATAATATTATAATAGGAGTAATATATAGGCCACCAAATTTAGACAGAATGGAAGCAAAGCATCTATGGGATGAAATATCTAGAGCATCTAGATCTAACAGTATTTATGTCATGGGTGACTTTAATTTTAGCGGAATAAACTGGTTGAACAAAACAGGGAATAGTGAAGCAGAAGATTTTCTAGAATTAATTGACGATTGCTTTCTTACGCAACACATTAAGGAACCAACACGGGAAAATAATATTTTAGATTTAGTGTTAACTAACAGGGAAACGCAAATTAATGACATCGAAATAGGGAGTGAGCTAGGGAGCAGTGATCACAAAGAAATCAGATTTAGCATAGAATGGAATAGACCAGTAGGAGAAAATTCTGTTAAAGTGCCAGATTTTCGAAAAGCTGATTTTAATAGCCTAAGAAATTTTTTGGGTCAAATTGATTGGAAAGCCTTGGGTATGGGGTGTGGGCCGGTCTTGGAGCGAGACATGAACCCAGCGATAGGTGACTTAAATGGGGATTTCGATGTGGATTCAATATATAACTTATTTAAGAATATTCTAAACAAAGCACAGGAACGTAGTATACCATACAAATTGAATAGATCGTATACTAATGACCCAAAGTGGATAACAAAGAATTTGAAGAACCTTATAGGTAAAAAGAGAGCTTGGTACAAAAGGATTAAAAATGGGGAGGTCACTTTAGAACAGGAATTCGTACAACTGGTTAGAAATGTTAAAAAAGAGATAAGGAAAGCAAAAAGAAACTATGAAGTTCGCATAGCAGGGCAAGCAAAGACAAATCCTAAAGGGTTTTTCAGTTATATCGTACTAAGACTAGGGAAAGGATAGGTCCATTAAAAACTGAGACAGGTCAAATAACAGATAGTGATGAAGAGATGAGTAGTATTTTTAATAAATATTTTGTATCTGTATTTACTAAAGAGGAACTTAACAATATGCCTTCAGCCGAACAAGTCTATGTGGGTGGGGACGAGGACAGGTTGACGAGTTTAGCAGTTACCAGGGAGGATGTTCTTAAACAAATAGTAAAACTCAAACCAAACAAATCCCCAGGGCCGGATGAAGTGTTTGCTAGGGTGCTTAAAGAATGCAAAGAGGAGCTTTGTGACCCACTGTCAACCATATTTAATAAATCAATAGAGTCAGGCAGAGTGCCAGAGTTTTGGAAAGTTGCTAATGTGATACCAGTTTTTAAGAAAGGAGATAGATCACTTGCGTCTAACTATCGACCAATTAGCCTAACGTCTATTGTGGGAAAGTTACTCGAATCTATAATAGCAAATAAAATTCGTCTTCATCTTGAAAAACATAAATTAATAATTGAGTCGCAACATGGTTTTATAAATGGCCGTTCATGTTTAACAAATTTGTTATCTTTTTATTCTAGCATTGTTGAGGCAGTTGATAGTGGTAAGGATTGCGATGTTGTATACCTTGACTTTAGCAAAGCTTTTGATACAGTGCCACATGAAAGACTGATTAAAAAAATAGAGTCTCATGGTATTGGGGGTGCTATATTAAGCTGGATTAGGGCATGGCTATACCAAAGGAAACAGAGAGTTAGTATAAATGGAATCAAGTCAGAGTGGGAAAATGTTGTAAGTGGAGTGCCTCAAGGCTCTGTCCTGGGACCTCTGTTGTTTATAATATATATAAATGATTTAGATTCAGGTTTGAGTAGCAACATTTGCAAATTTGCCGATGATACGAAAATCGGTAGGGAAATTAATTCGGAGGAGGACTCACTATCACTTCAAGTTGATCTAGATAGGGTTTTGAAATGGTCAAAGGATTGGCAGATGCAGTTTAATGCTGATAAATGTAAAGTTCTGAGGTTAGGTAATGATGATAGAGTTACAAGATACGAGCTAGATGGTGTTGTGATTGCGAAGTCGGATTGCGAAAGGGATTTGGGAGTTATGATTAGTAAGAATTTAAAACAAAAGGATCAATGCATAAATGTTCGTAATAAGGCAAATCGGACACTTGGATTTATTAATCGCAGCGTTAGTAACAAGACACCTGGTGTGGTTCTCAAGCTATATCTTGCTCTAGTTAGGCCCCATTTAGATTATGCAGTTCAGTTTTGGTCGCCATATTATAGAATGGATATAAATTCACTTGAACGTGTCCAGCGTAGGATGACTAAGTTAATTCCCCAAATTAGAAATCTTTCATATGAAGAAAGATTAACAAAGCTTAAGTTGCATTCACTGGAAAGGCGAAGAGTTAGGGGTGACATGATAGAGGTTTACAAGTGGATGAATGGACATAACCGGGGGGATATTAATAGGGTATTAAAAGTATCAACACAGGACAGAACACGAAACAATGGATATAAATTGGATAAGTTTAGATTTAGGAAAGACTTGGGTAAATACTGGTTCAGTAACAGGGTTGTTGATTTGTGGAACCAATTGCCGCGTAACATTGTGGAGGTGGGGTCCCTCGATTGTTTCAAGCACGGGTTGGACAAGTATATGAGTGGGATTGGGTGGTTATAGAATAGGAGCTGCCTCGTATGGGCCAATAGGCCTTCTGCAGTTACCTTTGTTCTTATGTTCTTATGTTCTTATGTTCTTAAAGAGCAGAAGTAACATCCCATTTGACTGATGTTTTCCCATCAGACTAGTAGGCCTCCTGTAGTCTTAGGAGAGTATGGAGACATTCAGTGCCTACGACAGTCAGTATCTACGATATTCAGTGCCTACAACATTCAGTGCCTACAACATTCAGTGTCTACAACATTCCATCAGAATAATGTGATATTATTCTGAGTAATGTTATTAATTCCTTTATTCCATAACGCGAAGTGTTGAGTGGCTGTCCAGTTAAATAAACCTAGGCCTTAATATGAAAGCCTTGCTGCAGGTCGGTGTTCAATCCCTAATGGTCGAAACGGTTGTGCACAGTTTCTTTGCTCTATCCTCGTATCCCACCTCTTAACCTATCCTCATATCCCTTCCAGGTGCTATTTAATCACATGATACCCACGAAAAGCTGATATTAAAAAAAGAAGCCATTAGTAATAGATGCAAATCTATTATCAATGGTTTCTTTGCTGGGTGAAAAAGGACTCAGAAACGCCTATGGTTAAGAATCCTCTCCATTATAAATGGGGTTCTAACCCTTAATCTGCTCCAAACGTCTATCCGGGATTTCTTCCTGTGTTCAAGTCGCCGCCAGATGTGATGGCTCATAATGGCTTTTCAATATATTTTTTTTTTTTTATCTATGTGCTCCCCTGGTTCTGGGACTTTTAATTATATACTTTAGCTGTTTATTAAAGGGTTCAATACAAGAATGTTGAACACAGTTAACCAAGTGTTTTCATGAGTCAAAACTGAGTGTGTACCACTTTGGGTAATTAGTCGTTAGTATATAATGAACGCAGACACTTACAACAACAACAACAACAACATCAACAACAACAACAACAACAACATCAACAACAATGCCAGTGAACAATAACATGATGGGTCACAAAGTTACCACAACTATGCGATCACACAGTTATCTTAACCAAGAAGTAGTCGTAGAGCAGTAGTTAACGTATTCGATTCGCAACTGACTGGTCCCAGGTTCGATTCCCGGGCAGGACGAGACATTTACACATTTCCTTACACCTGATGCACCTATTCGCCTGGCAGTAAAGATGCCTTTATGAGTTAGTCAGCTGTTGTGGCTAGCGTCCTGGTGAAGGCCACTCGTCGACTAAGGGGGGAAAGAGAGAGGGGGTGGGGAAGAAGGAGGAGGGGGGGGAGAAGGAGGGAAGGGGGAGGGATAGTGATAAGCCTAACGATCTCATTGCATTTTCACTTTAATGACGCAAAAATCACATGATATTCCTGAGAACAGTGGGGAAGGTCGCTCGCTGGATTGTTTCAAGCGCAGGTTAGACACTACATATGAATGTGGAAGGGGGGGGGGCGGTTAACATACACTTTAAAACTCGTAAGAGCCAAATAGACCTTGCGCAGTGGTCTATTTGTTATTGCGTCAGTATTTTTTTCCAGAATCCCATTGGGTGTGGGAGAACAGGGGGGGGGGAGGGGGTATCTGGCGTGCTCATAAGGGGTCCTGATGGTCCTAAGGTCAAGCCCAAAATTCCCCCTTCCCCCCCCCCACCCAAAACCCGAAAAAAGGGGCCCCATGACTCAAAATTAATACCTGCAGAACTGATGACCCGAAGACATTTCCCTGAGATCAATACTCCAGACAAGGGGCGAATAGGACATTTAGGCCTTATAATCTCCCAAGGGCTCCCCTATTCTCCCTATATTTACCCCGGGACCCACTACTCCAGGGGCGCGGGGCCGTAGCCCCCGTGGTGTAGGTCTGCGATGGGAAATGGGTAACGGGCTCCTCTTGAAGCTCTACGAAGTCAGCGACCTGATCTTCGAACTAAGAGATCTGCTCTTGGAACTGAGAGGCCTGCTCTTGGAACTGAGAGATCTGCTCTTGGAACTGAGAGATCTGCTCTTGGAACTGAGAGATCTGCTCTTGGAACTGAGAGATCTGCTCTTGGAACTGAGAGGCCTGCTCTTGGAACTGAGAGATCTGCTCTTGGAACTGAGAGATCTGCTCTTGGAACTGAGAGATCTGCTCTTGGAACTGAGAGATCTGCTCTTGGAACTGAGAGATCTGCTCTTGGAACTGAGAGGCCTGCTCTTGGAACTGAGAGATCTGCTCTTGGAACTGAGAGATCTGCTCTTGGAACTGAGAGATCTGCTCTTGGAACTGAGAGATGTGCTCTTGGAACTGAGAGATCTGCTCTTGGAACTGAGAGATGTGCTCTTGGAACTGAGAGATGTGCTCTTGGAACTGAGAGATGTGCTCTTGGAACTGAGAGATGTGCTCTTGGAACTGAGAGATGTGCTCTTGGAACTGAGAGATGTGCTCTTGGAACTGAGAGATGTGCTCTTGGAACTGAGAGATGTGCTCTTGGAACTGAGAGATGTGCTCTTGGAACTGAGAGATGTGCTCTTGGAACTGAGAGATGTGCTCTTGGAACTGAGAGATGTGCTCTTGGAACTGAGAGATGTGCTCTTGGAACTGAGAGATGTGCTCTTGGAACTGAGAGATGTGCTCTTGGAACTGAGAGATGTGCTCTTGGAACTGAGAGATGTGCTCTTGGAACTGAGAGATGTGCTCTTGGAACTGAGAGATGTGCTCTTGGAACTGAGAGATGTGCTCTTGGAACTGAGAGATGTGCTCTTGGAACTGAGAGATGTGCTCTTGGAACTGAGAGATGTGCTCTTGGAACTGAGAGATGTGCTCTTGGAACTGAGAGATGTGCTCTTGGAACTGAGAGATGTGCTCTTGGAACTGAGAGATGTGCTCTTGGAACTGAGAGATGTGCTCTTGGAACTGAGAGATGTGCTCTTGGAACTGAGAGATGTGCTCTTGGAACTGAGAGATGTGCTCTTGGAACTGAGAGATGTGCTCTTGGAACTGAGAGATGTGCTCTTGGAACTGAGAGATCTGCTCTTGGAACTGAGAGATGTGCTCTTGGAACTGAGAGATCTGCTCTTGGAACTGAGAGATCTGCTCTTGGAACTGAGAGATCTGCTCTTGGAACTGAGAGATCTGCTCTTGGAACTGAGAGATCGGCTCTTGGAACTGAGAGATCGGCTCTTGGAACTGAGAGATCGGCTCTTGGAACTGAGAGATGTGCTCTTGGAACTGAGAGATGTGCTCTTGGAACTGAGAGATGTGCTCTTGGAACTGAGAGATGTGCTCTTGGAACTGAGAGATGTGCTCTTGGAACTGAGAGGCCTGCTCTTGGAACTGAGAGATCTGCTCTTGGAACTGAGAGATCTGCTCTTGGAACTGAGAGATCTGCTCTTGGAACTGAGAGATCTGCTCTTGGAACTGAGAGATCTGCTCTTGGAACTGAGAGATCTGCTCTTGGAACTGAGAGATCTGCTCTTGGAACTGAGAGTCTTGAATTGATTAGGGTCAATAGAAGCTGCCTCGTATAGACCTATGGAAGGCTGCAGGTCTTTTTCCATTTATTGGGACCTTATTGTAGTGGTTCACTGTATTGGTCTTATTGTAGTGGTTCACTGTATTGGTCTTATTGTAGTGGTTCACTGTATTGGTCTTATTGTATTGGTTCACTGTATTGGTCTTATTGTAGTGGTTCACTGTATTGGTCTTATTGTAGTGGTTCACTGTATTGGTCTTATTGTAGTGGTTCACTGTATTGGTCTTATTGTATTGGTTCACTGTATTGGTCTTATTGTAGTGGTTCACTGTAAGGTCTTTTTGAGTACTGCGCTCCTGTCTAATCCCCCCTGAAAACACCAGGCTTCTTTCCAATCACTCAGAATACTGAGCACTTCTCCAGTCACTCTCAGAACACTGAGCACTTCTCCAGTCACTCTCAGAGCACTGAGCACTTCTCCAGTCACTCTCAGAGCACTGAGCACTTCTCCAGTCACTCTCAGAACACTGAGCACTTCTCCAGTCACTCTCAGAACACTGAGCACTTCTCCAGTCACCCTCAGAACACTGAGCACTACTCCAGTCACTCTCAGAACACTGAGCACTTCTCCAGTCACTCTCAGAACACTGCACACTTCTCCAGTCACTCTCAGAACACTGAGCACTTCTCCAGTCACTCTCAGAACACTGAGCACTTCTCCAGTCACCCTCAGAACACTGAGCACTTCTCCAGTCACTCTCAGAACACTGAGCACTTCTCCAATCACCCTCAGAACACTGAACACTTCTCCAGTCACCCTCAGAACACTGAGCACTTCTCCAGTCACTCTCAGAACACTGAGCACTTCTCCAGTCACCCTCAGAACACTGAGCACTTCTCCAGTCACTCTCAGAACACTGAGCACTTCTCCAGTCACTCTCAGAACACTGAGCACTTCCCCAGTCACTCTCAGAACACTGAGCACTTCTCCAGTCACTCTCAAAACACTGAGCACTTCTCCAGTCACTCTCAAAACACTGAGCACTTCTCCAGTCACTCTCAGAACACTGAGTACTTCCCCAGTCACTCTCAGAACACTGAGCACTTCTCCAGTCACTCTCAGAACACTGAGCACTACTCCAGTCACTCTCAGAACACTGAGCACTTCTCCAATCACTCTCAGAACACTGAACACTTCTCCAGTCACCCTCAGAACACTTAAATAATACATTGTAATTCTGAGTCAACTAACTCGACTATAAATGAGCAAATATTCACGAAACAAAAGTTTTGGAATTTGTACTTGAGTGAGCTACACAGTTTGAGGCTCTGGTCAACCCGTCCTCGACTCAAGTCCATTACATCCAGCGGTCGACCCCACAGACGCATTCATAAATTTTAACATGCTGTTCATTCAAAACGGGAATTTTCTCAAGTATTAATTAATATTATAATATATTGGCATATTGTGTATATATAGGCATAGGTTAGGTTAGGTGTTTAGGTTCTGTTGGCGATTATTTGTATTTGTAGTACGTGGGTGAAGCATTTACAGCGTTGTGATTCGAACAAAATTCGTCAGTGAAGCACTTGTTCCGGATATGTTGGAACGTCAGCAGTTGTGAGTCGTGTGTAAACCGCTTTTCATTCATAAACAGCGGGTTTGGCGGGTGCATGGAATCACTTTTGGATCTTTGTTTGGAGGACGGGCTGCATTAAATACAGGTTCTTGGGCACTTGTCGCATTTGAGTTGGCACGGGGGTCAGTGGTTCGATATCCTCCGAGACATCTTCGAGGCTCCGAAGATGTTCTCATAATGTTTGAATCTTCTTGATTCGTCGTCAAGAAATTACTTTCGTTATTATTTTGTGTTCAGTTTTTCCTTGAACTGATCTCGTCTCACGCCGACCAGTCCAGTCCAAGTGGTTCCGCCCGACTAGCCCAAGTGGTTCGACCCGACCAGTCCAAGTGGTTCGACCCGACCAGTTCAAATGGTTCGACCCGACCAGCCCAAGTGATTCGACCCGACCAGTCCAAGTGGTTCCGCCCGACCAGCCCAAGTGATTCGACCCGACAAGTCCAAGTAATTCGACCCGTCCAGCCCAAGTGATTCGACCCGACCAGTCCAAGTGGACAAACAAACCCTATCCCCCCCCCCACCCCGGTAGGGAGCCGGTCGGCCGAGCGGACAGCACGCTGGACTTGTGATCCTGTGGTCCTGGGTTCGATCCCAGGCGCCGGCGAGAAACAATGGGCAGAGTTTCTTTCACCCTATGCCCCTGTTACCTAGCAGTAAAATAGGTACCTGGGTGTTAGTCAGCTGTCACGGGCTGCTTCCTGGGGGTGGAGGCCTGGTCGAGGACCGGGCCGCGGGGACACTAAAACGCCCCGAAATCATCTCAAGATAACCTCAAGATAACCCCTCAGACATAAACAAAGCCCCCATACATCCCTATAATTACAATTCTCAACAAACTGTATTAATTTATTAACCTTCCCTGAACCCGTTCTACTTTAAACGTGTCATTTTTCTCAAGTTATTTCGTCTGTTCTTGTGAACAGACAAAATGTTCTTGTGAACAGACAGAACTCCCCTATGCTGATGCTAATTTTATTATTACGAGGGGGGATCAATGATCAATATTATGAGCAATAATATTGATCTCATTCATAACGGGCTGCGCCATCTTTTTGAGGGGGGGGGGGGGGTTTAGTGTTTGTCATTCGGTCAATCTCATGCAGGTAGGTAAGGTGATTAGGCGAGGAAGGCACTATATAAGCCTATACACCTATAGAGCCCTTTGGGCCACGAGGACAAGGAGCTGGGATATGAGGTCAAGGAGCTGGGATAGGATAAGGGACTGGGATATGAGGTCAAGGAGCTGGGATATCAGTTCAAGGAGCTGGGATATCAGGTCAAGGAGCTGGGATATGAGGTCAAGGAGATGGGATATGAGGTCAAGGAGCTGGGATATGAGGTCAAGGAGTTGGGATATGGGGTCAAGGAGCTGGGATAAGAGGTCAAGGAGCTGGGATATGAGGTCAAGGAGCTGGGATATGAGGTCAAGGAGCTGGGATATGAGGACAGGGTGCTGGGATAAGAGGTCAAGGAGTTGGGATATGAGGTCAAGGAGCTGGGATATGAGGTCAAGGAGCTGGGATATGAGGTCAAGGAACTGGGATATGAGGTCAAGGCGCTGGGACATTAGGACAAGGAGCTGGGATATGAGGACAATGCGCTGGGACTTGAGGACAAGGCGCTGGGATATGTGGCCACAGAGCTGGAACATGAGGACAAGGAACTGGGAAAATAACAAAGAGAAGGACTGGCCCACACCACATAGACCGTAGGGGATCGAACTCCGACCTACAAGAAGCGAGGTTAGTCATGAAATTAGATTACATTTTTCCCCTGGTACAGCAACTCGAGTCTCTCGCCCTTCACACGGAGCTCTCTTGCCCTTCACACGGAGCTCTCTCGCCCTTCACACGGAGCTCTCTCGCCCTTCACACGGAGCTCTCTTGCCCTTCACACGGAGCTCTCTCGCCCTTCACACGGAGCTCTCTTGCCCTTCACACGGAGCTCTCTCGCCCTTCACACGGAGCTCTCTCGCATCTTCAGTCCAGCAAATTTTGTTCTCAAATATGCTGAACACTTAAAATGGAAGTCCCACATTTCACAACTGCAGGTAAAAATGTCTAGACTGTGTTAATTAAGTTTACACATCACTTCCTGTCATATATAAATATATAAGCCTCGTTGTAGGGGCCTCGAAGCCTGGTGGATAGCGCGCAGGACTCGTAATTCTGTGGCGCGGGTTCGATTCCCGCACGAGGCAGAAACAATGGGCAAAGTTTCTTTCACCCTGAATGCCCCTGTTACCTAGCAGTAAATAGGTACCTGGGAGGTACCCTATAGGTAAATAGGGTAGGTTGTCAGCTGTCACGGGCTGCTTCCTGGGGGTGGAGGCCTGGGTGAGGACCGGGCCGCGGGGACACTAAAACCCCGAAATCATCTCAAGATAACCTCAAGATAACCTCAAGAAGCATGATGCAGGCGACGAGTCACAATAACGTGGCTAAAGTATGTTGACCTTTGTTGACAATCGACTTGAGAACGGTCCAGGACGGACCGAAACGTCGTCGTCGTCCCTTCACCTTCTAGTGTGTGGTCTGGTCAACATATAAGCATGATGTTATCTTCTTATATGTGTAACCAGAGAATGTTTAACGTATCTTATATCAAAGAAAAACGATTTGATGATAATGATTCGCGGCTAAAACGTGTCTTAAGCGATTTAAATCTGCTTATCTATTTGTGAAAAGGTCAGAAAACCGTCTATAAATATTTAGGTAGGAGGGTAGGGTGTAGTGGTGGAGGGTAGGGTGTAGTGGGGGAGGGTAGGGTGTTGTGGGGGAGGGTAGGGTGTTGTGGGGGAGGGTAGGGTGTTGTGGGGGAGGGTAGGGTGTTGTGGGGGAGGGTAGGGTGTTGTGGGGAGGGTAGGGTGTTGTGGGGGAGGGTAGGGTGTTGTGGGGGAGGGTAGGGTGTTGTGGGGGAGGGTAGGGTGTTGTGGGGGCGGGTAGGGTGTTGTGGGGGAGGGTAGGGTGTTGTGGGTGAGGGTAGGGTGTTGTGGGTGAGGGTAGGGTGTTGTGGGTGAGGGTAGGGTGTTGTGGGTGAGGGTAGGGTGTTGTGGGTGAGGGTAGGGTGTTGTGGGGGAGGGTAGGGTGTTGTGGGGGAGGGTAGGGTGTTGTGGGGGAGGGTAGGGTGTTGTGGGGGAGGGTAGGGTGTTGTGGGGGAGGGAAGGGTGTTGTGGGGGAGGGTAGGGTGTTGTGGGGGAGGGTAGGGTGTTGTGGGGGCGGGTAGGGTGTTGTGGGGGAGGGAAGGGTGTAGTGGGGGAGGGTAGGGTGTTGTGGGGGAGGGTAGGGTGTTGTGGGGGCGGGTAGGGTGTTTGTGGGGGCGGGTAGGGTGTTGTGGGGGAGGGTAGGGTGTTGTGGGGGAGGGTAGGGTGTTGTGGGGGAGGGTAGGGTGTTGTGGGGGCGGGTAGGGTGTTGTGGGGGAGGGAAGGGTGTAGTGGGGGAGGGTAGGGTGTTGTGGGGGAGGGTAGGGTGTTGTGGGGGAGGGTAGGGTGTTGTGGGGGCAGGTAGGGTGTTGTGGGGGAGGGTAGGGTGTAGTGGGGGAGGGTAGGGTGTTGTGGGGGCGGGTAGGGTGTTGTGGGGGAGGGAAGGGTGTAGTGGGGGAGGGTAGGGTGTTGTGGGGGAGGGTAGGGTGTTGTGGGGGAGGGTAGGGTGTTGTGGGGGAGGGTAGGGTGTTGTGGGGGAGGGTAGGGTGTAGTGGGGGAGGGTAGGGTGTTGTGGGGGCGGGTAGGGTGTTGTGGGGGAGGGAAGGGTGTAGTGGGGGAGGGTAGGGTGTTGTGGGGGAGGGTAGGGTGTTGTGGGGGAGGGAAGGGTGTAGTGGGGGAGGGTAGGGTGTTGTGGGGGCGGGTAGGGTGTTGTGGGGGAGGGAAGGGTATAGTGGGGGAGGGTAGGGTGTTGTGGGGGAGGGTAGGGTGTAGTGGGGGAGGGTAGGGTGTTGTGGGGGCGGGTAGGGTGTTGTGGGGGAGGGAAGGGTGTAGTGGGGGAGGGTAGGGTGTTGTGGGGGAGGGTAGGGTGTTGTGGGGGAGGGTTTAGAGTGTTGTGGGGGAGGGTAGGGTGTAGTGGGGGAGGGTAGGGTGTTGTGGGGGAGGGTAGGGTGTTGTGGTGGAGGGTAGGGTGTTGTGGGGGAGGGTAGGGTGTTGTGGGGGAGGGTAGGGTGTTGTGGGGCGGGTAGGGTGTTGTGGGGGAGGGTAGGGTGTTGTGGGGGAGGGTAGGGTGTTGTGGGGGGAGGGTAGGGTGTTGTGGGGGAGGGTAGAGTGTTGTGTGGGAGGGTAGGGTGTTGTGGGGGAGGGTAGGGTGTTGTGGTGGAGGGAAGGGTGTTGTGGGGGAGGGTAGGGTGTAGTGGGGGAGGGTAGGGTGTAGTGGTGGAGGGAAGGGTGTTGTGGGGGTAGTAGGGTAGGGTGTAGTGGTGGAGGGAAGGGTGTTGTGGGGGAGGGTAGGGTGTTGTATGGGAGGGTAGGGTGTTGTGGGGGAGGGTAGCGTGTTGTGGGTGAGGGTAGGGTGTAGTGGAGGAGGGTAGGGTGTAGTGGGGGAGGGTAGGGTGTAGTGGGTGAGGGTAGGG